GGAGTTGGTGATTTACAGGGAGGCCTGGTGTGCTGCAGTCCATGGAGTCACAAAGAGTTGGACACGACTGAGCGGCTGAACTGAACTGAACTGAAGACTCATACCATCATGTAATTCTATGATTGGAAGGGAATAGCTTGTAATAGTCATTAGTGCTTCACAAACACTTGTGAGTTACCATTTTCTGGTCACCTGGTGGGGATATATGACTTTCTTGCTGTTTAGTTCTGAGTAGGAGGAACATGTGATACTCGGGCCGTGTATTTAATTGTTGGTGTGGTACCATCAGATTTCTCTTTGCTCTTTGGTTTTGCAGAAAAGTTTGATGTGGTGGCTACATTTTATCGCACTTGGATCCTTGAATGGCTGAAATGAGTAAAAAGCCAACCAACGCTTAATGTAATGAGTTCTTGTTGTTGTTCAGCCACTCAACCATGTCCGATTCTTTGTGACCCCATGGACTGCAGCACTCCAGGCTTCCCTGTCCTTCAGCATCTCCCAGAGCTACTCAAACTCATGTCCATTGAGTCAGAGATCCCATCCAACCATCTCATCTTCTGTTGTCCCCTTCTCCTCCTGCCTTCAATCTTTCCCAGCATCAGAGTCTTTTCTAATGAGTCAGCTCTTCGCATCAGGTGGCCAAAGTATTGGAGTTTCAGCTTCAGCATCAGTCCTTCCAATGAATATTCATGATTGATTTCATTTAGAATTGACTGGTTGGATCTCCTTGCAGCCTAAGAGACTCTCAAGAGTCTTCTTCATCACCACAGTTCAAAAGCATCCATTTTTCAGCATTCAGCCTTCTTTATGGTCCAGCTCTTGTATCTGTACCTGACTACTGGAAAAACCATAGCTTTGGCTATATGGACCTTTGTCAGCAAAGTAATGTCTCTGCTTTTTAATACACTAAGTTTGTCATAGCTTTTCTTCCAAGAAGTAAGCGTCTTTTAATTTCATGGCTGCAGTCACCATCTGCAGGGATTGTGAAGCCCAAGAAAATAGTCTGTCACTGTTTTCATAGTTTCCCCATTTATTTGCCATGAAGTAATGGGACTGAACTAGTCTTTTTGCTTTAATCCATTTGTTTTGTGGGAGGTCATTTGCTATCATAGCATGATTCATAATAACCTGATGAATATAGAAATTAGTTAGTATAATTAGTGTGCGTGCATGCTAAGTCACTTCAGTCATGTCCAACTCTTTGAAACCCTGTAGATTGTAGCTCTCCAGGATCCTCTGTTCATGGGATTCTCCAGGCAAGAACACTGGAGTGGGTTGTCATGCCCTCCTCCAAGGAATCTTCCCAACCCAGGCATCAAACCCAGGACTCAGGTTTCCTGTCTTGGCAGGAGGGTTCTTTACCACTAGCACCATCTGGGAAACCCATAATTAGGGTAGTGCACCAAAATAAATAAATAGCATTGGCTTAGGGATCAAGTAGTGACTGGCAAGGAAACTGTTAGTGGAGGCATAAAGAATTGCATTCCGTTTTATTCTGTGGCAAATCATTTAGTAAATCCTCACCTGAAATAAATTGGAAGCATAAACTTATGATGCATTTAAGAAACTGGCAACCCACTCCAGTACTCTTGCCTAGAAAATTCCATGGATGGAGGAGCCTGGTGGGCTACAGTCCATGGGGTCGCAAAGAGTCGGACACGACTGAGTGACTTCACTTTCTTTAAGAAACTCAAGGTCTTGGGAAGAGGTAGGAAGATTGAATACTAGTAGCATATGTTGCTTGCTTTGGGCAGTGTTTGATGAGGTACCAAGTCTGAGTCCCTAAGACAGTACCCAAGCCTAAGATCTCCTACAAATGCATGATGGACAATCTGAAAAACCTTTGCTGTTTTATGCAACTGAAATTTGGGACATGTTTGGTAGCACAACAAAACCATCATTATCCTGACTAAAATGTAGTTCAGTTAACCTCATTTTACAAATGAAAAAGCTGAAAGATTTGAATATCTCAACATTCCAATGTTCCAATTGAAAGCAAAGCTGACACAAACCAGTGTGCTTTGTCACAGTGAACCAGCATGTGTCTTCTTTGACATTAAACAGGACATCGTTCAAATAAAGAAATCTTTCTCTTTTAACTCTCATCACAGCTTGTACACAAATGGAATAAAAGCCCTTTGGTCCCCAAAGATTCTCACCAGAGGAGATGCAGAACTTGGTCAAGAAGATAAGAACAGGGGGTCATAGTCTAATATTTCAGTTCAAGAAGGAAGATGAAACAAAAACTCCTATGTCACACATAGAAAATGCACCCTAACTAATACTTCAGAAATGAACATCTGAAAATGGCAAATCAACACTGAAAGGGCGGGGGCTTCACATACAAGAAACAAACATTCAAGATTAAATATAAACCTTGTACTTGGTGATCAGCATCTCAGACTTTGCTGTGTGTTTCAAAAGAACTTGTGTCTCTCCATGTTTTCATGGTTTACCCTCTACTGGATAAAATCACGACAAATGTTTGGAGTTAAATGAATAGGAATGCTTGATGACTGACAGGCCCATGATAAATTGCTCAACATTGTTAATCACCAGAGAAACATGAATCAGAACCACAAGGAGATCTCACTGAGCCATTTGTAACGACAAGGATAGACATGGTGAATTTGGACTTACTGAACTTAGTGAATAACATGGACTTATGCTTGGTGAAATAAGTCAGACAGAGAAAGACTGACACTATGTTTTTACTTATGTGTAGAATCTAAAAAATCAAACAAATAAATGAAAATTGCAAAACCAAAACAGACTCACAGATGTAGAGATCAAACCAGTGATTACCAGTTAGGAGAAAAAAGGGCAGAGGAGCAAAATAGGGGTAGAGGATTAGAGATAGGAACTACTATGCATAAAATTAATAAGCTACAGAGATATATTGTCCAGCATAGGAATATAGCCAATATTTTATAACTTTGAATTAAGTATAAGCTACAAAAATATTAAATCACTATGCTGAAACATATACTTTTGAAATCCACTGTAGTTCAATAAAAAAGAATATTTTGTGACACAAGAAAACTGTATGAAATGTAAATATTAGTGTTCATAAATAAAGCTTTATTAGAACACAGCTGTGCCCCTTCATCTGCTGTCAGCTATGATTTTTGCACAGCAGGTTAAGAGTTAGAAACCATAAAGACCAAAAGGCTGAGAATATTTAATAACTAGCTCTTTACAGAGAAATTTTGCCAACACCTGATACAAACTATGTAACTTCACTACTTAAAAATGATAAGAGAGGTTATGAGTTATGTAGAACTCAAAAGATTTTTGTTTAGGAATCAGGAAAAAAAGAAAACATATGCAGCAAACATTAAAGAAAAGATGAAAGCTAAAATTATAAAAAGGATCAAGGATTCAGAATCAGAAAATCAAGAGTGAACCAATTCCTCTACACACTGATAGCTTTGCCCAAGTCGTTTTATGTTTCTTTCACTCATCCAATTAAAACTGTACTGAGTGCCTACTCTATGCCTGGCACAGTGAAGACATGGAGAATGAAAAGGTGAAAGTGTTAGTTGCTCAGTCACATCTGATTTTTTGCAACCCCATGAACCGTAGCGCAACAGGCTCCTCTGTCCGTGGAATTCTTCAGGCAAGAATACTGAAGTGGGTTGCCATGCCCTTCTCCATGGAATTTTCCCAATCCAGGAATTGAACCCAGATCTCCTGTTATGCAGGCAGATTCTTTAGTCTGAGCCACCAGGGAAGCCCAGAGAATACTACAGTGAAAAAAAAAATTACATACCAAGTCCTCATAAAATCTAAGGTTTGTTGTGAGGGTTAAATACAATGAAGAGCTAGAAGGCACTCTGTGAAATTTAAAGCAGTATATGTAATTATTCATATATTTTGAAGCTACTGGTATTGAGGATTTTTGTCTTAGATCTTAACCAGATCTTGCAAACTTAGAAGAGTTAGAATCCTTCTGCTGATTTTTACTAAATGAGAGCTCTTGATTCTGCTCTTATCTTAATGTCATCTCAGCTGCGCATTTCCCATTTTTAAATAACATGCTACTTATCTAGCATTAATTCAACCATATTATTTTATTTACCATACACATAGGATGTAATTTAAAAGCCTAACCCAGTAACAGTACTGGTCATAATTGGCTCCTTGTTTATTTTTTGATAGACTAAAGAGTGGATTTTGTTTGAAAGAAAAATTGTCAAGAAAGCACATTTTTCTTGGGAAAATAAACAGCTAATGCATGTGGTCTTTTATAGATGGTACATTTCATCATCATGCAATAACTGCTGAGTAAACATTTTAAAATAAGTATTTGGATTTTATACTAAAGTTTTTGTTAAGAGTAATTGGAAAAAACTAAGCTTATATTTTCTGACATAAGTACTATTGTGAAAATATATCTATTTTACATTAATGATTCTTTTAATTACTCAATGAGAAATAATAGTGACATGTACTTCAAATATTATTATTTTTAATTATTTTGTCTTCTTTATCAAACTAGTCAATGTAAAAATATATCAAGTTGATTATCTGAATGAAATTATTATTCTTTTCAAACATTTCCATATTTTGAAGTTAGTTAAGTCGCTCAGTCATGTCTGACTCTTTACGACCCCGTGGACTGTAGCCCACCAGGTTCCTCTGTCCATGGGATTCTCCAGGCAAGAATACTGGAGTGGGTTACCTGTGCCCTCCTCCAGGGGATCTTCCCAACCCAGGGATTGAAATTGGGTCTCTTACATCTTTTGCATTGGCAGGCATGTTCTTTACCACTAGCGCCACCTGGGAAGTACCATACCACCAGTTCTCTTTAAATAATCATCACACAAGCACAAACAAATCTGGGAGGAGTTAAATGGCTAGTAATTCAAGAATTCATTCATATTTTAGTACTAAGTTTTAGGAAAGCAATCGTTTAACATAAAAGGAAGGGACATTTTTATTTCATCAAGACTTAAATCACACTACTCAGATTCCACCATTTTTCAGAACACCCTTACCTTCTGGTAGAGGAGTAACCTTAAGGCAACAGTTCAGCTTCCATTCCCCTAAATGCCTGAAATGCAAACAGGAAGTTCTGCATACATACGGGAACAGGTAACTGTGCATATTGCAAAAGGACTCAAACAAATTATGACTGTACATCATACTGTGTTTTACGCCGTGTTGCACCAGATAACATCATTAAAGTGTATTCATTCTAAATTCTCCTTTACATCCTTTCCCCAGTCACTCACTCAGAGCTTTAAATCTTCTATGATAGCTCCTAAACTTTCTTGGGTCATGCTATTTGAGAAGCTGATGAAAAATATAAACTCTTTCCCACAGAAAAGACATAGGGCTTCCGAGGTAGCTCAGGCAGTAAAGAATCTGCCTGCAATTCAGGACACCCAGGTTCAATCCTGGGGTCGGGAAGATCCCTTGGAGAAAGAAATGGCTTCCCACTCCAATATTCTTGCCCGGAGAATCCCATGGACAGAGGAGCTTGGTGGGGTATGGTTTATGGGGTTGCAAAGAGTCAGACACAACTGGGTGACTTACACTATATGTATATTTACACTCATAAAATGCACAATACTTTTCAGTACATTTATGGATCTCACCAATGCTACTGGTTCCACTAAATTACATACACCTGAAAGAATTTCATTCCTTGGTTTCATTTTAAATACATCATTAAGGTCTAAAGAGAAGGCAAGTAAATGCTTCTGCTCATATTCTGTTTTGTCTACTTTTTCAGTAACTGAACCATTTGAACAGAACAGCAGGGTGGAGTCCGTACCTGATAACAGGAAAGGAAGTGAAGAAAGCTGTCATTGTGGAATTTTTCCATGACCTGGGGAAACTAGTGTAGAACCTTTCAATCGGCTTTTGGCCAATTTGTATCCGAACTGAAACTCAAGCTCAGGCATTCTTTTTCAGGAGATAAAATAATGCTGCATAATTTCTGTACTATCCCACCCTAATAATTTTCAGATTTGATTTTCTAGGAGCAAAAGTTAATGAGGTATTTCTCCCTTTAAGACTGGAGTAACACAGAATCCCAAACAGTAAAGAATCCACCTGCAATGTAGGAGACCTGGGCTTGATCCCTGGGTGGGGAAGATTCCCTGGAGAAAGGAACGATTACTCACTCCAGTATTCTTGCTGGAGAATTCCATGGACAGAGGAGCCTGGTGGGCTACAGTCCATGGGGTGGTGAAGAGTCGGAAATGACTGAGCAACTAACTCAAGGGTAGAGGAGGCAGAGGAATTATACAAAAACAATTCTTGTAGCATTCGAATATCCCACCCACTTCCCTCCGGAACGACTGTTCCCTCCCCAGGCACGTACTGTGATTCACCCTTTGACCTTGGACCTACCCCCTACAACAGGGCTTGATGACGTCCTGCTTCTCCTAAAGTGTATCCTTTTGTGATGAACTGATAAGAGAGGGTCAGATTGCCATATACGGACTATGTATGTATCTAATTCGTTATTAACACTAATCCTGGGGATTTACATTTGACACAGCAGGGTATTTTGGGTAAGATGAGATTTCTGGCATTTTAAAATCTACCAGGTGAGCGCTTGCTCCTGCCAGCTATGCCTGGAGTATCTTTGTTCACCAACAAAAGGGGTTATAACTGTTGGTTGGTGATTTCTATGCCAGTGCCAAGAATAAATCTATAAAACATGGAAGAAGTTTGGGGCACTGTTTCTTTTGAGAAAATAGATAAATGTTGCCTTCCCAAATGTGAAAGAAGTGTTGAGCTCCTACATCTTACTGTTTTAAAGATTTCCTTCATGTGCCTCTCTTTTATTAACTTTATTTTTTATTTTTTAAATCTTTCTCTAAATTTAATTTTAGTTGGAGGATAATGGCTTTCCAACTGCCATGTTTGTTTCTGCCATATAACAACGTGAATCAGCCATAAGAATACATATATATCCTCCCTCTTGAGCCTCCCTCCAACCCCCAACCCTTCACCCCAGCCCTCTAGGTCATCACAGAACACAAGCTGAGCTCCTTGTGCTATATAGCATCTTTCCCCTGCTACCTATTTTACACATGGTAGTATATAGTATATATAGGTCAAAGCTACTCTCTGAGTTTGTACCACCCTCTCCTCCCCGCACTGTGCGTCTCATTTTACAGTACATCAGAAGGTATTTCCATTTCATCTGTTGTTTTAATAATACCACTTGAGTCAGTTTCTCTGTTTCCCTTTGCTGACCACTCTATCTCCTCTGTCTTCTCGTTAAACAGCACTGAGTTCTTTCAATATACAATCATTCTTTAGTTCAAGTCACTCTGTATCTGTGATGACTGCAGGACACTTCCCAAAAGGTGAGGTAACAAAATCTTGCCTCTCCCCTTTCAGGTTTCAGGAAAAACATGACCCAAGTCACACAAAACCCCAGAGATCTCTCTAAAGCTGCCTGCCAGAAGTCATCAGCATCATCGCTGTTGAATTCTTAGCATCTATCATCACATCAAGTGCACAAGAACAATACCACTGCAGCTGCAGAATCAAAACACACCCCTAGTGTTTTTTGTTATTGTTTAAAAATAGTAAAATGGAAGGAAAAAAAAGACTGTGCACAATATAATTTATCAAGGGAGAAGGGAAGTTTGAGAAGGACCTAGTACTCTGGTTGTGCAGGGGGCCTCTCATACAGTTCTTTTTGTCTGTTTAAATAAACTTTGAAAAGGATAATTCATAAACTTTATCTTTAGGTTCACACCTACCACTGTCCCCTCACCTTTCTGACCGCACCCATTCCTTTCTCCTCCCCTTCACTGCTCCCTAGTCTTCAAGCTCAGTGTCTAATCGAGCAATGAAACCTAGGTGTTTGTTCTTCTTTGAATTATTTCACTTGACTGGGAGAGCATAAGTGCCAATCAGCACATGATTTCTAAGTGCCTCCTGTCTCGTATTCTCTCCCCCCAAAAATACAAATTCTCAAGAAAACTAAATGAGAAGGGAATTTAAAACATTTTAAAATAGGAATCTTTATTTAAGATTTTCCATATGCTAGCATGTGATAACAAGTGTGACATTGGTTTTGTTAATTTAAGGCAAAGTAAAGTGTAAGTAAACCCTTTAAGACAACTGATAATTAATTTTGTTTTTATTTCATAAATTAGCTTTTATTTTATTATTTCAATAGTTTCAAAAATTGATTTTTAAGAAACTTGATTTTCACACTCCAAGATTTGTTCCTGGAAGTTTGACAACCTGGTTCTTATGAATTAGATAAATTTCATAATTCTTCATCACTTCTTCATTCTTCATTGCCTGGTTTTATTTAGGCTTTTCTGGGCTCATAATAGCAGCTATTAGTGGAATGAATTTATTTTTCATGTTTAGTTTATTTATTTCCCATCAGTTCATAACAATCTGTCATAGAATTTCTAGCAACAACTATCATAGATATACAGGTATTTTTTTTCTTTTGAGTGAATTTCTACCAGCGCTATTGTGTGACTTATGCTAAAAATTCACTGATAGTTCATTTATGTTTTAGACATAAGCTATTTGTGAAGCACACCAGAGAAAAAAAACACCAATTCATGTCTTCAGCATCAAATGAAGGACTTCATGAAAAGTTGTCTTTTTCCAGAGTAGATTTTATCACCTGACCAAGTCAAATTTTCCTTCCAGATTTTCCTTGGAGAGCAATGATGTCCATTTTACAAAGATTATTATAAGTGTGTTAAGTATAGGTGCTAAAGATTCAGTAAATATGTCAGTCAATCTACCTTGAAGAAATAGTCCAAATTCTCAACTGAAAAAAATAGTGCCTATGTGGGTCTAATGTGCTAAGGTGTAGTGTACAGTGAAAGTGTTAGTCGCTCAGTTACGTCCAACTCTTTGAGACCCCATGGACTGGAGCCTGCCAGGCTCCTCTGGTCTGTAAAATTTTCCAGGCAAGAATACAGGAGTATATAGCCATTCCCTTCTCCAGGGGATCTTCCTAACCCCGGGAACTCAGGTCTCCCGCATTGCAGGTAGACTCCTTACCATCTGAGCCAGGAATCTCTAATTTTGCCAATATCTGGAGTATTCTTCTTCAACATTCCCGAGAGCTGGTGAAACAGTTTTCTTCCCCCTGCGCCCACTCACCTGCATCCTAGTGCTTGAATTCTTGCCACAGAGCAAGGGCTTTCTCAGAAGCAGGATGTGCACTTGGTTCCATTCTTTGATGTTTACTCTGCCCACTGTATCCAAAAAGATTTCCCAGAAAGCTAAGAGGCTGAGGCTAAAGAAATTCAGAAAAGAAAAAAAAAAAAAAAGAGTCCTAAGGAGCTGGCAAGGAGTATACATGACATCGGTACCCAGCTTCTGAGTGAAACTGAGAAAACATCAGAAACTGCCCGGGGCTTCAGTATCACTGAAACTCCATAAATTTAGTCTCATTTTTGGGCTACTCCTACTGGAAGTGAGTGGAAGAGAAGTGAAGGGAGATTTACAGCCTTGTGACAGATGATTTGGATGACAGTGAGAGCACAGTAGGGAAGAGAGAGAGAACCACAAGGTTATCTCCTCCTCCACAGGGCACAGGGCCGAAAGCCCTGGAGAAACTGATGTGGTTGCTCAGTGGTAAAAAAAGAACCTGCCTGCAATGCAGGAGACCCAGGTCTACTCCTCGGGTCAGGAAGATCCCTTGGATGAGGGCATGGCAACCCACTACAATATTCTTGCCTGGAGAAACCCATGGACAAAGGAGACTGACAGGCTACATTCCATAGGGTCACAAAGAGTTGGACATGACTGAAGTGACTGATCACTCACCCAAAGCCTGGGAACAGCAGCTCTACGTAAATTTCTTCTTTTATAGTGCAGAAACAGATTATTTGTGAGGGGAAAAAAAAGACTTTAGTACCAAATTTAACCTTTGGAAAGAAACAATTGAGGTGTTTTTTAACTTCTGCTTTGTTTGAGAAGGAAATCTTTCATTCAAATATTCTTCTGCTGCAGATCTAGTTAAGTTTACAGCAATTTCAAGGTAACAGTTGAATTCATTTATAGCAAGGAATAAGCCAAACTGAGAATCCTAAGTAAATGATTCAATTTAGAGATGTAGAGGAAATAATTTTCTGTTAATGAAAAAAACAAATAAGATTGTTCACAGTCTGGTTTGTGAAAATACAAGAAACAACTAATGTTTAATTTTATAGTATAATTTGGAAAAATTTTATGGAAAAGTTTAAGGTGATATTGTCTAAAGCTGTCAACTGAAAAATGTAATCAATGAAAATAATTGTGAAAACATGAGACTTATAACTGGTTTTTAGATGATGTTGGAGTAAAGAAAGAATGCTGTTTTAATCATCAGTAGACTCAGGATAAGTGGTCCTCCTCATGAAAACCAGACACAGGAGAATTAGGTCATAAAGTTGCCAGGGTAACATTAACACTGATGTGGGGGCGTTTGTCTCCTGATGCCCAGTTTGTTGTCCTGAGAGTAGGCGGGTGATTTGGCTCTTTCAGTGTCCTGACCCTGACCACAAAACCATCCAGCTCCCTTTGCCCAGATTCCTGGCTTACACTTGCCCACTACAAACCTTGATTTGCTTTCTTACCAGTTGTTTAACTATTCTAATCTCCTCCCATGATACCTTTTAAATATTTTAAAAATTATTTTATTGTTTTTTTTGGGGGCTATGCTTGGTCTTCATCGCTGCACACGGCCTTTCTTTAGTTGTGGTGAATGGGAGCTACTCTCTAGGTGCAGCGTGCAGGCTTCTCACTGTGGTGACTTCCCTTGTTGCAGTGATTGGGCTCTAGGGTATGCAGGCTTCAGTAGTTGTGGCTGGCCAGCTCTAGAGCTCAGACTCAGTAGTTGTGGTACGGGGTCTTAGATGCCATGTGGCATGTGGAATTTACTCAGACCAGGGAATGAACCCATGTCCCCTGCATTGGCAGGCAGATTTTTAACCACTGTACCACCAGGGAAGTCCTCCATGATATATTTTTAAAAATTAGTCATAGGTACCATTTATCACATTATAGTCACTTCCTTTTTAAAGTATTATTAGTGTCAAATATCACATATAAAAATTAAACAGATTGTTTATAAGTATAGTTTAAATAATAATTTTTTAAAAACATGTACCCACCATACATGTTAGATACCCTTTGAACACATTCCCCTGTCATCCAACCAACCCCAGAAATGACCATCATTCTCCATTTTAAATTAGTCATTCTCTTACATTTCTTTATAGTTTTATCAATTTTGTATATCAGACTTCCCAGATGGTGCAGTGGTAAATAATCTTCCTGCTGATGCAGGAGGCTCAAGTGATGTAAGTTTGAGCCCTGCATCAGGAAGATCCCCTGGAGTAGGAAATGGCAACCTGCTCTAGTATTCTTGCCTAGAAGATTCTATGGGCAGAGGAGTCTGGGGAGCTATAGTCCATGGGGTCTCAAAGAATTAGGCACAATGTGTGTGAGCACACACACATACACTTCTGTATATATTCCTAGTTATATTATATATTCCTGTATATATTCCTAGTATATATTCCTATATTCATATTTTATGCTTCATATATGTCAATCCTAATCTGCTAGTTCATCCCACCCTTCCTTTCCCTTACTGCATCCACATGTCCATTCTGTAGGTCTGCACCTCTTAAATAAGGTAGTCAGAGAAGGTCACCCCGAGAAAGAGACGTTTTTGCAAGGATCTTAAGTCACACAGAGAACATTAGGCAGAGGACACAGCAAGTGCAGAGGCTCTTAAGTGTGAGTGGGACTGATTTCTTAAAGGGACAGCAAGAGGGCAGTACGGCTGGGCCAAACACAAAGAATGAGGTAAGAGGAATAACCTAGAACCAGACAGCTCAGGGCCTCATAGACTATCACACTATCAGTTCATCCTTTCTAGTTTGGATATTTGTTAATATTTTTTCTTATCATTCTGCATTGTCTGGAATAACCAGTAGAATTTTGAAGAAGAATAGTGATAAAGGACACCCTTTTTTTATTCTTGATCTAAAAGGGAATGGTTTCAATATGTCACCATTGTGGTGTTGGCTGTAGGTGTTTCCAGAGACATTTCATCTGGCTAAGAACATTTTCTTCCCATTTCTGGCTAACTAGGAATTTTTAAATATCATGACTGGGAGTTTAATTTTATCAAACATGCTTTTTTGCAGGTGATGATATGATCATCTACAAAAACATAAATTAAATTAATCAATTTTCTAATATTAAACCAATGCTGCATTCCTTGAGTGAACTCAACTTATCAGTGTTGCTTAAACACGCACACAGAGCTAGATGTAAAGGTTTAGGATTATGCATTTGATAGCATAAGTGAGATTGATCTGTAATACATGTATGGCTGTTAGCACAACTGACTCCATCTTGCATGCGTGTTAAGTCACTTCAGTCATATCTGATTCTTTGCAACCCTAGGGAATGTAGCCCACTAGGCTCCTCTGTCCATGGGATTCTCCAGGCAAGAATATTGGAGCGGGTTGCCACGCTTTCCTCCAGGGGATCTTCCTGACCCACTGATTGAACTCACTGTCTCTTGTGTCTCCTTCATTGGCAGGCAGGTTCTTTACCACTAGTGCATCTTGGGTCCCTACAATTACTCTTGTCCTGCCACTGATCCTACCCAGGTGTGCTGTGTTGTAAATCACTTCTCTGTCATCAAGGGCTTAGTGATTAATAGCTATTGTTTAATAATCATTGGGACCAAGTGGCCTTTATGCTCTGTTAATTCCCAAACAATGATGAAGACCTTCGATGACATATCCTCAGCATCCACAAGACTAATTCCCCATTCATAAATCTTGACTTAAGAATGCACTTCATGTTTCAAGCACTTACCCCAATACCCTGCCTATGGCCTGTTGGTAGTATGGAGTTCAGCTGTGAATGCTTCCGGAAAGTTGTTGGCCCAATCTCTGAATCTGTGAATCTCTGAAATCTGTGAATAAATTATTCTATGCAAAACGGATTCATTGACTGTATGGTGCTGACTGCTTAGTTTATCAGTCTCTAAATGCCTTCTCAGCTTGGTGGGTACTTTCTGTTCCCTCTGTCTTCCAACAACATATTTCCTGTACTGTTTGAAGCTATTATGTAAAAGATATGATAATCTCACAAATTGGGAAGTGTTTCTTATTTCTTATTCTCTGCAAATGTTTTTGTTAGATGTCTACCATGCTTCTTGAATGGTTTGCAGAACTTGCCAGTGGATCTATTTGAGATTGAAATTTTTTATGAAAAAATGTATGGAAAACTTAGTAAATACTATTTCCATTTAGTAATTATCAGATTATTTAGCTTTTTCTTTGCTAGGTTATATGTACTATGCTGACTTTATAAAAAGTTTTTGGAGGTTTTCCATCATTTTTCACATTACAAAACAGTTTCCATATATTTGAGCATATCTTTTTCCTAAACTGGGTAAACATTTTGTGGAAGAGAAAGGTGTGAGTAGAGTAAAATTTTTTGACAATTTTTTCTATTATGTGTAAATGGCCTTTTACCTTTTCTTTTTTTATGGGATCTATCTTTGGTAGTTTCTATTTTCCTTATTTATCCACTTAATTCATTTTTTTTAAATGTGTTTTTATAACCTTAGGCATAGTACCTCTAATGATATTTATTTTATTTATAGTTTTATTCTTATTTTATACATTTTTTACTTTTATTTCTTATTTTATACATTTTAAGTTAATTTTTGAACATGTTGACTTTCAAACATGTTTATTGTATTTTTCTAAATAACCAGAACTTTGACTTATGAATTTTGTTATTTCTCAATTTTCTTGGTTGCTTCTCATTTATTAGTAGCAATTTCTATTTTAATAGTTTATTTCATTCTTTTATTGCTTTTGATTTCTTGAATTGGCTACATCACTCATTTATTCATTTTCATTTATTCTTGTTTATCAACATAATTTTTAGCACCATGGACTTTTTCTTAAACACTTTATAGTTTAGCTTCAGATGTTTATAGTTTTATTAATAATAGTTCATAGAAATTCTTTACTATGGGTTTTGATTTCCCTTTTTCTCTGAATTTATATAAACTTTCAGATCATATTGCTATAGCATTTTTGTTGTTGTTTTGTGTTTAACTTTTTGTTTTATAACAATATGATCAGAAAACATTCTCTGTGCTCTTTTGTCTTTGAGGAATTGATTACAGTTTTCTTTGCAGCACAATTAATGGCCAATTTCTAAAATTTTTTTATAGTTAGATTTTTCATCTTTCTTTGGGCAAGTTGATTAATCATCTCGCCATAAAAGACTATTATTACTGTATTATAAAAGTATACTTTATATGTAAAAGACTATTATTACTGTATTTCAGTATACATACTGAGAGACTGAACTGAACTAAGTATATGTAATAAATATTTGAAAAGAAATAAACC